GCAGTGTATTCCTAAATCATCACTGATTTGCTTCAAACTTGTCAGTGTTGTTACGTAATCTGTAATAGACTAGGTTATGTGGTTTCTGTCCCTCTTCACAGGCGTTCTGAGATGGTCAGGAATACATATGACCACAGAACTTTTCCAGTGTGAACACTAAGGCTCCCCAGTGCATCCCCAACAACATCAAAGACCGTCCTGATTAACTGCATCATCACAGCAGAGATGAAAGAAGCTATGTAGGGCTATGTAGTCTCCTCTCCCATTCGTTAATAAGTTGGGTGAGCAGTCCATGCAGTCTAAATGTGTGCAGCAGCTCATACATGTATATGACAGGGGGGTAGCTACAGGGGGCCTAAGGGGGCCTATGCCTTCTCAGATTTTTGACTGTTCAAAAGAAAAAGTCCTCTGATGCCAGTGAAAATTTCTATTTTGCTCTCTTATAATACAGGATGTAACCCAAAGCCATTTTATGACTTTTTCCACCATGAACAAATGAAATTGACTGCCAAATCATCAGTTTTTGGTTGATGCTATCACCATGGCAATGTTTACATGACAGCATGGCACCACCAATCGTGTCAGTTTTAAACCAACTCTGCAATGAGGCATGAAACAATGCTTTTTCAATTCCACTGTCAACATTGAAACACAGCATGACCCTGCAGATTACAGGAAACAAACTAAGCTAGGCTAGTTAAGCTATGTTAGCATAGGCTACTATTTACCTACTATAGGAACCAAGCAGAACTAATCAGTAAATACAGGGGTGGTAAGTAAAACAAAATTCAGTACTGAGAAAAAAAGGCCAGAAAACTGCAGCTTTCAACTGTTCACCCCAGGCATCTGCTCCTAGTGATGCAAAAGGTAGGACTGTGGTTAATTAGCCTTTACCTGCTGTGGTGTGCTGTCAGCTATTATAATAATATGGCAGTTAAATGCCCCCCCCCCAATTGAAATTCTGGCTATGCCACTGGTACATGAACTGGACTGGTGGGACGTTTTCGTCTGACAACAAATGCAATGAGACACTGAGATAGTGAATGTATGCGGTGGCCTTTCTGCAGTGTCAAAATCCATTCATAAACAAACACTGGCTATAGTGACTATACATCTCACGGTAATCATTAATATGATATGAACAGGGCCTCTGACACTGTATGACAGGGGTGTCCATCTTTTCTGCAAAGGGCTGGTGTGGCTGCAGGTTTTCTGATTCCACTTGTTACATCAGTTGGTTACAGCCTTCAAATAAAACCTTGTACCTCCAAAGTAGTAACTTTCTAGGAGAAGGAAAAAAACGTTCTTAATTTTGAATGTAAGTTATTAGAACAAGATCTTTTTTCCAACAAGCAAAGGAGTATTTCTATTAAAATGCTGATAATTTGAACACATTATAAAGCTGGCATTTTCAAATTCAATATAAATAAATAAATAAATAAATAAAACAGGGAAATGGAGGTACAAGGTTTTGTTCCAATAGTGATGACTTAACTGATCACTCTTGCTCCTGCTTTTTCAAGATTGAAAACCTGCAGCCACAGCAGCCCTTTGCAGTGGACACCCCTGCTGTATAACATACTGTTATCTACAAAATTGGACAACAAGATGGTCAAAATTTAGGCTCCACAATGACTGCCACTAATTTTTAGCTATGTGAGATACTTTTGAATAATTTTAATGCTGATTTTCCCTGTCTATGAAGTCAGTAAGGAGCAGGATATTATACTATTTTCAATAAACTTGAACAAAGGATTGGTGAAAAATAAAACGTATGCAATTTTGCACTAACCCCAGATGTAGTTGAACAGTGAAGACATGTTTAGTGTCCAGATTCGAAGTCAATACTCACCCAAACCTTTTCTGTTAATATATCCCCAACACTTTTCTCAGCCCAGGTCTTCATTAAAGTAACACAGACTGGTCGATGTGGTTTAGGACACAGTATGACTTAAAATGAGCTATAAAAAATAGCGTAAGTTCACTATGCAGCCATTATAGACAGACGTTATGGTGGCTTTCATCTCCTCTTTGCTTGCACACACGTCACTCAGACATATGGATGCTACTGATGACATTCACAATATCTGATGTTGCTTTTTTTAAATGACTGTTAATCTTGAAATTTCAACATGAAAATGCACATTTATAAATAGGGAGACTTGGAATTCAGCTCAACACCTGCTGTTTAAAATGGCTGCCAGCTGTGTGTAGCTACACAGAGTAATTTTGTTCATTTTTTTTAGTCACAGTAAGTCATACTATGTCCTAGACCACATCAACAACTCTGCATGACCTTGATAAAAAAATGGATTTGGTTTGAGCAGGTTGTGAGATCTTTTTGGTGTGCTTAAGATTTGGGTGACTATTGACTTCTTGTGTTTGTTAGCAATATTACCATCAAACCTCCAGTTTAAAATTAAAGAAGCAAATTTTGGACATCAAAGATGTCTTGGCTGATCGACCACACCTGGGATAGGTATAAAATTATATATTTGATTCTTCACCAAACCATTCCTTTAAAGGCATAGAAATTGCATTATTTACATGTGCTAAAGCTAATAAATGACTCCTGTTCATCATAATCATGTGTTTGTACGTGTTTTATAATACTGTCATTAGGCTTTTACTGTAATAGTGGCATAAATGAATAACAGACAATTAAACTGTTAATTTACATGACAATTAAACATCATTTAAGGTTTCATGATAAAGATAGGCCTAATCCCCAGAGCTATGAGACTGTGATATGATCTTGATCTTTTCTAATCATACTGATTGTGCAAACATGGACATGCACCCGTAGAGGTGCACAATCTGAGAGGAAGAATAATATCAAACAGATCGAGGACAGAGTGTGTCTTTGGCAGCTATGCAGAACACGTAGGCAGACATGGGTGAGTTCATTAGAGCTCTAAATGTGTACACCCCATTGTAATTACTCTGTGAAATGAATGACAAATAAGGCTTTACTGCATAATGAGCGCCTTCGTTAACCCCTGACACTCTACGACTCGCAGACTGTTTGCTCAAACCGTGGCTGTACAAAGAAGGCAGAACACCACACACACTCTTTAATAGACTGGGCCTCACACACACATGCAGACATTTTATTTTTTACTTTACTTTTTTATTTATTTTTTGACTGCTTGTTTAGTGAAGCAAATCTCCCCTGAGTACCGGACTGTTTCAGTCTTCAAACTTTTATATTAAAAACACTAAATCTTGGCTGAGGGGGGCAGCGCTCTGTGGAACTCTCTCCTGCTCTCCCTCTTGAATAAATAAGCACATAAACTTTTGTTATCTTTTTCTGTCTGTGTCCATCTAAAATTGAGTTGTTCCTGCTTGCTCCTATCTCTGATGAAGCTTCATGAACAGCATTCAGTTTTGTTTAAATAATGCTCTGCATGGATTGTTAGCTTTAAGCATTACTGATGGCTAACTGTTTCTTTGCTCTCCATTTCTTTCATCTACAGTGAAGAGTGTGTAAATCTCTGATGTCATGATTCAGTTCTATTCCGATTCTTTAGGGAATGACACAATACATTATGAAATCTGAAATGTATTCCCGATTCAATTTGATTATTTTTTTTAGGAAATGATTAGACTTGACTCTGATTCTTTAGGAAATGATTCAATACATTATGAAATCGGACATTTCACAGTGAATCAATTTGTTTAGGATTTTAAAAAAATGATTCAACTTGACTGTGATTCTTGAGAAAATGATTCACTGCATCATGTAATCTCAAATTTTGCCATGATATGATCTGAATATGATTCTTCAGGAAATTATTTGATCGATTCTTTGGGAAATTATTCAACAAGTCATAAAACTTCAAGTTTTAACATCATTCAATTAGAATATTTGTTAAGAAATTATTTGATTTAACTATGATTCTTTAGGAAATTGTTCAACGCATCATGAAATCTCAAAATCCACGATAATTCGATTAGATCACAGGTATTTTGGTAATGATTCGATTCAAGTACCATTCATGAGGAAATGATTCAGTGTATCATGAAAATTGTGCCATGATTTGATCTGAATACAATTCCTTAGGAAATGATTTGATTCAATTATGATTCTTTGGGAAATCATTCAGTACGTCATAAAATCTCAAGTTTCAACATCATTCAATTAGATTATGATCTGTTACAAAATTATTAGATTCAACCATGATTCTTTAGGAAAAGTTGCAAAGCATTATGAAATCTCAGATTTCACCACAATTTAATTACATCACAGGTATTTTAGAAATGAATCAATTCAACAACAACTCTTGAGGACATGATTCAGTGCATCATGAAATCTTACATTTTGCTATGATTCAATTGGATTATGTCTCTTTAGGAGATGATTTGATTAGACTATGATTCTTGAAGAAAATGATTCGGTACAATACAGCATTTCAAATTTTCAACATTTGATTTGTTTACATCAAGATTTTTTTTGATTCAGTTACGATTCTTTAGCAAATGATTCAATGCATCATTAAATCTCAAATTTCTACACAATTAAATTAGAGAATGATTTTTAGGAAATCTTTTGATTTGACTATGACTCTACAAGAAATTACTGAGTGCATCATGAAATCTCAGTTTTCACCGAGATTTGATTTGATTTTTTATTCTTGAGGATATGTAATTATGATTTTTGGGAGAAACATGAAATCTCAAATTTCACTGTGAATTTATTTGTTTATTTATATATGTACTTGTTTATTTATCATGTAAAAAATGTACTGAATACTCAAATGCCACTGGGGTAACTATTTACACACAAGTAAACTCAGGATTAACATACTTAGAAAACAGCAATAGGATTTTAATTTGGCCAAAAAACAAGCACTGAGGTCGACTTCATTCAATATTATTTTAATTGACTGTAATAGACTATAACATTCCAAAATTGAAATATGAATCACCACCTGATGCATTGATGCATTTTCATGCTGCTAAAGCGGAACAGAGGTGGCTTTCCTGTAGAGGTGGCTTACCTATAGCCATGAAGTCCTCAGGCTCCCAGGGCTGCAGCTGGGCCAGGGGTCCACTGTAGAGCAGCAGGCCATCTGCCACCTCTGTGATGAACTCCAGCGAGAGGTGGCTCTCAAAACACGGTCTTATTGGGGGAAACCAAGCATAGCCGTTGCCATGGAAACTGTGCTTGGTCTGTTGGCATTCAGGTCCCTCGAACTGAGCTGGGCACTGACATCTAGGGCACACACACACAAAGCAAACACATCAGAAAAATCACAGAAACATTAAAAGTGGGGTAGTGAGGGAATATGGACATGGCAGGCTGTACGAGGACTCATGGGACAGCTAAACCGGCCTGAGGTCATAACTCAGTCTCCATAGTCTAAAACAGCATCCTTCTGCTTGAGTGGACAGAAATCAGAAATCATGACCTTAAAAAACGTTGTGGTACTGAAGCACATAACAGACACAAATACTAGCAGACACTTTGCAGACAAATGGCATATACTATAATATACAGGGTTATGTATCTCTGATCTCACAATGATTCAGTCAGATTACGATTCTTTAGAAAATGTACATAGTAGTAGTGATAAAAACATTGACTAAGTCTGTTTATACACTTGTGAATGGCCTGATAACTTTATTTAAGCCCAAAAACATGAGTGCACACTCACTGAATATTGACTAGGGATGCTCTAATATGGGATTTTTGAGCCAATGCTGATATCTGATATTTTTTTTTCATGTTCTTTTGTGCTGGTGGCAAAGGTGATACTGTCACAGACCACCTTTCATTTGATTTTCAGTCAAAACTACCATTTAGTACAAGTTATCCATTTTTCAAGAGACATTTCTGAGGAGATTAGATATAAGATAACCACGTTAGAAAAATGAAAGTCAAAGTGAAAATACGAGCATTTCCATAACTGCAGATCAAAAAGTAGAAATATAGGAGAAAATCAAGCTCCATTCTTGCTTCAGATCTGAAAAAATCCACAGGTGTTTCTGTCCATCCTTCACTTTAAAAAGACAACCCAACGCTATGGGTCTCAAAGCATGTATAGCTGTCAAGAAGCCATCAGAACAATGGACTGCCCCCCCCCAGAGCCCAAACATTACTGAATTTGGGCAGGGGTTCCAAATCCTGGTTCAGAAAATCAACCACCTGGGGTTGTGTTTCACAAAGCAGGATTTCTCACATTAGCCAGATAACTTAAGCCCAAAATCAACCCTTGTCCAGTAGGAAAAGAGCTGAAGGACATTCCCATTGGACAATCCTCACCTTTGGGCTTAAGTTATCTGGCTAACTGAGGAACCCTGCTTTGTGAAATACCCTTCAGGGCAATTCAGATCCACCACACCTAGCTCTAACATTCAGATGCCACTGCAGGCCTTCGTTACCTGGATCGAGTGTGTTAGATCGGGTTGGGGCTAAACTGTTCTGGGTGGTAGATCTCCAGGACCAGCCCTGTGTTTGGGATTATTTGGATCATGAGAAGCAGAAAATGCAACCAACTTCTAAGACTGAACTTTGGAAGTGTGGAAAAATATCCCTGCAGATTTCTTTACAAAATTGGAAGAAGCCATAATACAGGCACAGGGTGAACACTATAAATATCAGAGGTGGGAACAAGTCACTAATTTGCAAGTAACAAGTAAGTCTCAAGTCTTCACACTCAAGTCCCGAGTCAGTACAGGTGAGTCTCAAGTCGAGTCCCAAGTCAGTAGTCCTAATCTTCAAGCCCTAAACAAGTCAGTATGCATTCTTCAGGGAGAAGCAGGAGCTGGAATGAGCCATTCCAGATTGGGCAGATCCAAATAGAGTCTCCCCAAAAGGGGGCAAGACACACAGTTTCTCGTGGCTTCTGTGTGTAGTCCTCTAATCATTTTTTTTTGCTTTTTCTTGATGCTAAAACTTACTTAACGACTGTTTTGACTGGACACACAGCACTGTGTAAACATTTATAGCATATAGAAGATATTACAAAAACAGTAGGACAACATCGGCTAAATCGGGGTGCCTAATCCTGGCCCAGGAGATCTACTACCCTGCAGAGTTTAGCTCTAACCCTAATGTGACACACCTGATCCTGGTTAAGAAGGCCTTCAGGAAGATATGAAGATTAGAGCCAGTTGTGTTTCAACCAATTATCTGATGATAAAGACGCACCTCCGATATCACTGTGCATACCTAATATTGATAACTGATTCCAAAATTGATGCAGTTGAACCACTATGTTCAGATTAATGCATCAGAATACAGTGAACCACTGCTGCAACTCTATTGCATATATACCAGGATTTAATAGGATTCTGCAGTTATACCTTATTGCTTTTGACTTCCCTTCCCATGCTGGGTCCACCTGTTGCTCGCACACTAAACGCAGCACACATACACTGTATCATCCACTAAAAGGCATCAGTCACAATTGCTTTCCTTTGATTCGCCCCTGAAACCACTGCTATTTTCTCGGCTCCCCTGCCTTTATGTCGCTTCGATGAATATAATAATAGTTTTGAAAAAATGCATGAATCTTGCTTTTCTCCTTCTCTTTCCCCACCTAGCACTCTCCCTCTCTCTCTCTCCCTCTCTCTCTCTCCCTCTCTCTCTCTTCCTCTCACTCTCTTGTTCTTTCTCAATCTCTTACACTTGGTAGCTTCTCCATATGCGAGTTAGCATCAGCCTTTTTTTCATTCTCTTTATCCTCCTCCTTCCTCTCTCTCTCTCTCTCTCTCACTCTCTCTCGTTCTCTCTCTCTCTCTCTCTTCCCCGCAGGCCTCTGATTTTGTGATTGAAAGGCAAATGATGTTGTGAGATGACAGCGTCTCGGCACGTCTGACAGACGTAGGATTCGAACGTTACTCAGGCAGGATCGGCGCGTCCAATAACAGAGACAGCGTGCACCACGCTGTCTCTGGTAGTGTCGCCTGCTAATCAAAGCTAGGCCCGTGTTTACTAAAACAACACACCATGGCAGGAGACAAGCTGGATGAAACGGCGACGTGAGAGGACATGTTTATAGTAACGATCAACACAGAATCAGAGGAGGAGGAGGAAATCGCCCTGGTGTCTTACGCCAGGCAGGGCTGGTGCTCTTCAGCAGGGGGAGATTTTCACAAAACCTCTTCCACTTCCAGCCAATTAAAGCCAGCAGACGCTTTTATGGCGCTGAATAATACCACGGAATAAGAGATTCACTTCAGGAGCCGAGCCAAGCACGGTGAAATTTCGGTCCAATTAAAGCCGTTTGAAGGAGAGGACAAACCACAAAGTCGAATGAGCAGGAGCCACAAAAGCAAGGAACGAGATGCAATCTAACCACTGGCAGCCCTGCGACAAAGCCAGCTGTCTAACGCATGAGAATAAAGACAGCGTGATAGACTTACGGCGCGCTCAGAATTGATTCACAAACAGACAGTTTAAGACAGTGCAAGAAGATTGGCAGAGCAAGAAAAACAGGCCGTCCCAAGATACGCCTTACAGTACACGTCTTTATTTCGGGGCCGAGACGGCTCGGATTTGTTCATGCGTTCAAGTCATTTACAAAACATTCATCACGCTCGCAACAGGCGATGCGAGTGCACAACGGAATTCTAATGGGCACCAGCAAAGAAATTTACCGTGATAATATCGCCGTTATTGCATTCCTAATACGAAGACATTGATTAATGTCAGTCTCCTGGAGAAACCCAATCCAGATAGTTTTCCAGCCCAGTGCAGCAAATTTTCTCCCCAGACACACATCCAGGACGCGGGAGAGGGCCGGGCCTGCTCGCAATAAGGCGACATTTCACTCTCCAATCAATACAATAAGGCAGGAATCGTCTGGAGGACCTTTTAAGCTAAAGTTTCACAAAGAGCCACTAGCAGTCTATGTCATCAGACTCCGTGTTTTGGCATAGGGTTTGGGTTACAGTCTGAGCCGTGATATCTGGTGCTGGTTAGAGTCATTTTGGCTGCTTTAACTCCTCGCATATGGCCGATAACGGATGGTTAAGAGGCTGCTTTGTGTGGATGCAACTTTAGGCATGAGACCATACGGTCAAGTGACAGAAGCAATAAGAGAGGAACTGGACCATCAAAGAATTTTAAAGCTAGGCCGGAATGGAAACGTAGGAAAAGAGTAAGAGAGGAAAGAACGTTTTAATGGGTCATGCCAATTTGGTTTTTGGTTTTCTTTCCACTTGTTGAAATCTGAAGCTGTACACAGGGAATACAAGCCTGCATGATAGAACGCTGAAATAGAGAAGGAGAGAAGGAGGGAGAGAGGGGGGAGAATGAAGAGAACGAGAGAGAAATAGAGTAGAGATACAAATAGAAAACATGAGGAGAGAGAAAGAGGGAATATGGAGAGAGAGAGAACAAGGAGAGAGAGGAAGTGTTAACCATTTTCTTTACTAAAGAACCCTTAAAGAACCATTTTTAAGTGTGTATATGGCTCATTTTGCTTGTGCTACTTAGAAATTTGCCAAAATACATTTGGAACTATGGGCCTGTGTGTACTTACACCTGAAAATAAATAAAATATGGGTAAACAAAACTTGAACCTTCTGAGAACTCGGCCCAGAAGCTCAAAGAGGGAGACCAGCCTTGAACCATCAGAGAAAGCATGAAAAACGTAATCAAGGCTAAAACAGAAAATGCAACATGGTGAAACAGCAGAGTTAAATTTTGACACAAAGGTATTAGTGGGCATTGTAGAGTGTAGGGTCCTCCATCTGAGGTCTACAGAGTGCAGAGGGCCCCTGCACAGGAGCCTCCATGTCCTACGAGACAGTGAGATAAGCTCTCCATTTGGAGTCAATCCTTCTTTTTAGCTCACTGAAACAATACACAGCTCTTGTACAAGTCCAAATTACTAGGTTTTGAGAAAGTCACGCTCCGCGAACTTCCAATAGAGAAAAGTTGCCCATCCCCTTTCCTCAAGAACACTCGGAGTACTGCACAACTCCGGAAATGACTCACAAGTCAGTCACCAGATAAGGCACAGGTTATAAAAGATATTAAAGACTGGGGGGAAATACTGCTGGAGAAAAATGGATTTGAGAACAAGGGCTCATCATAGTGAGTCTTATTGTCCCTTGACACCTTAAACAGCCCCCAAGCATCTACTATAGACTAGCTATGAGGAGTGAGGTAGTTTTGGAAGGTTTGTTTTTTTCATGCGTTTACAACTACGGATTTTAATGTAGAAACAAAGTCAAACTGGTAATGTGTCAGCAGAGCGTAGC